AAATTATACAAGTATATGTAAAATAAAAGCGACCTTGACCCGAGGTTAGACATAATGCACGGTAGGTAAGTACCTACCTAAGTACATATAGAGTTGTCTATTATACTAGCTGACTAGCCGATGCCTCCATAAAGCCCCAACGCAATGGCTTTCATTAGCGCAGCCACGGTTTGCTTTGCCTTTTTGTCTTTCGATCCCCAGCCTTGCCAACATCATGTCTCTCATGGCTCGTGGTCTCATACGGGCCCGAGTGGAATTCATTCGTTTCGTCAAAAACAAAGCACGACTTAATAGCAGTTAGTCCACGCGATTTTCTTTATTGATGTCTTATCGCACTGGCCACGTTCTAGAAAAATAGGACCACGAGGCATACGGACTACCGGTATCGTCTTGCTGTTGGATCATCATGTTTTACATGTTAGTTGTTTACGAGCTGCGTGGCGCATTCACAGTCCGACCTGCAAACATGTATTAGGTATTGTATGTACACTACTTTCGCATAAGCCACGTAGTCTTAAAATAACTCGGTCAATATGGGGGCAAAAGATGAAGCCAACGCTCTGGCACTTTGGTACACCGCTCAAAACTCGGCATAGTCCACCGAACCTATCTGATCGCTTCCATCGGTTATCGACGCGATCCCATAGGTACGGTAACAGGACTGGGAGACCAAGTGGCTCGGCTAAGCTTAATAGAAGTCGTTCCAAGCTTTTCATATATCAGGATCTACAAATCTCGCGCGCCATATCTATGTGCTTCTGATGCAAAAACCGTGAAGTCGCACCCTTCGGAGCTGGCTACCGAGAGGTGACGCCCTTTTTCCCATCAGCGGGTGATGGTGCAGGTTGCATATTGCTAATGGTGGAATATCGTCCCAGGACCCACGGTGTGCCTTAGGAATGTATGGTCCGGGTTCTGGATAATCAAAGCCTCGTGCGATGGTAATCTAAGCGCAAGTTGTTCGCGACCCACGAAATTCTACGAATCCAAACACCTGGAAATGTCGATCACGTAGAATACAGTGCGAGGTACGTACCATATAGTAGGTACATTACTACATACATGTGCTGGGTCATCCGTGCATGTGGCCTTGCAGTCATTGGGTCGTCAAAAAGAACCCGACGATCAGGAACGAGCATGGAATATTTGAAGATTGCTCTCTACTATGTATTATCCTAGCGCGTCAAACTAGCGCATAGTCGAACAGACGAAAGTGAAGCTTTAGCCGGGTTCAGGACTAACAGCATTAGTTCGATTTGTGAAATGCCACGGAGAAGCGGAGCCGGACACGGAGGCGGGATACGGCACGCCGCTTGGCTTCCTTGACAGCAGACACCAAAGCTAGAGTTTGTCTGATGTCAACGTTAGCGTCAATATCAACGTCAACGGCAACTGCCACATCAGATGACAAGTCATAACCTAACCGTCTAACACCGTCTAACCATCTAAGCCAAGCTACAAGCTACACAACCATGGCACTGGCATCCCAATTAACTTTTTTTTTTTTTTTTTACCTTGGGGTTGGACGCCCCCACCAATCTAGGACACCGTAAGCTCGTCAAGTCATGACTCCCGGGTGTTTGTTAGTTCTCTCGGTTGTTAGATTCGTCTCACATATTGACTTTCTGGCCAAGGCTTACAATATACAATCCAGCATCGTAATAGGCTCTGCCCATGTCCATCGCGTCGCACGAAGTACGGCCGAAAACCCTGTCGGCCCTTTCCTTTGGGTATACTGACTCGACGACATCCTGGTTCTTCATCCCTCGTCACTGAGGGGGCTGTGACACTACTCCTCATAGCCCACGGGCCACTACCCTCTAAAATCCAACCGTAGCCACCACCGAACCCGAGCTAGCGGCACCAGCTGCTCCCAAGCATGCCGTGCTCGCCCAGCGTTCTTCTGGGAGAGGTGAGTCGATACAATAGGCCGACCGTGATGCCTACTTGGCAGACCCAAGCAGCCGACTCCCATACTTTGTCCAAAGCTGGGTTTCTATCATCTGGGCTGCCAAACTAGAACACCAGTTCATGCAGGCGCATTGTAAGTGAGCGCCTAGATCCACGTGCGTCTGTTTTGATGCGTGCACGTCGCGTGCGAGGCTACATGGAAGGATGTATCTCGGATTTCGGCCTCCAGTACTCTACCGCCTACATAATATAATATCATCGCCTTGCTAGCATTAGCGTAGATGGGCTAACGCCAACCCCCGTCATTCATGACAGGACGTCGCTGGCAAGGTTCAGATCCTAAGGACGACGATCTGGGACCACGGCTTCTGTTTTACGAGTTACATGACGACATACGTGCCCATGGAACCTTACGTACATCGTTCCGAGGTCCTGCAACATGTCTGAAAATAATCACTTCTCTAACACCAATCATCATATCCCGTCAGCAAGGAGGGTCTAACGCCTAACGTCACCCACGTTGGGACTTGGGAGATGGTGTTGGTGGGTGAATGTCAGACCTGTGGCGCCTCATAGCAATCTCCGAATAGGGGACATCACGATGGGATTCGAACTGCTTAACGAAACCAACACTACTACTATTGCCCTTGGAACTTAGTGGCTATAAGCTAGCCTCAGTTAACTTAGGTATTCATCAATAAATACAGCTTGCAGAAAAGTGGGCAGCAAGTATTGCAACTAGATATCAAACTACAGATAGCGCCATCTACACGTCGCGTTGGGGTATAGAACTCCGCTCGTTTAGAACCTCGTGGCGGCTACCCACATGAAAATAAGTTCACCTAGGTGGTAACTAACAAGATAGCCAGCATGACCGACCATTTCTTTTTTTCGGCCTGCCGTGTAGCCATCTCGCTTCTTTTTGTAGTAATGGGGGAGCTACCGGCTAGGTCATGTAACCGCCCCAACCTACAGGCCTCCTCATTCGACCCGTCCACGACAGGTTACGGGCGGTGGACAACCGACCCTTTACCGTCATACATTATCAGCCCGACCCGGCCGTTACTGACTGAGGGAAACAATGGCAACACTCTTGTTGGATTGTCTCGAGGGCTGTTATTCACCCCTGACCAATACGCCCTCGACGATGAGTCCAAGTGTTAGGTAGTCGGCTCTTCTTGCTATCTAGTAGCACTTACTATCTATCAAAGCCGGCATCGGTTACGGCTTTCCCCATCTTAACTATTCGCTACGCCAAACCTGCTCCGCTTTGGTATTCGAGATGCGGCAGTACTGGTTACACTAGATTACTTCCCGTATATGGGAGTTCTGGGTAATTAGGTGCAAACATGGCCAAACGTCCCTCGAGGAAGCGAGGAAGCGAGGAAGCAACATACCGGCAGGTGTATCCTAAACTCATAGTGAACTTTCTTTTGTTTTTTATTTCATTTTTCTGAGACTTATGTCTGTTCTTGTCGTGGGGATCGGGGGTTTAGTGACTCATCTCGTTACTCGCTCTGAGGGTCCCCAATACCCTCCTGGTTATCTGCATCCCTCGAGTAGCACGACCTCCTCGGTAGCCGAAACCTCTTTCGTCCCACGCTGGCTAAACGGCCAAACAACAGCTCATCTCGTATGTATGTCGACTCGAGTCAGCCCACACAACTGGTAGATAGGCCCATCTCGAGATGCAACTGATCAATCAAAAAGCGACGACGTAAGTTATCATACCGAAGGTCGTATCACCAGGTAGCAAAATGAGGTAGTAAACAATGACAAGATAGCTCCTCTTCGTTGAAGTGTTATACACAAGCTACATACGCTCGCGGGGTGAGTCATCGAGATGCCCGGTACATACATATGCAGATGACTCTCATGCGGAGCTTTTCTTCCATGAGCCACTGTATCATGAAGTTCGACACCGAATTCCTAGCCCCAAGCTATGCCCATCCCCTCACCAAGTTATACCTCTTCCCTCCCTGGTCTCGCGCAGCCCGTTTCCCTATCGCACCCCTGCGTCTAGCACCCCCCAGCCCCTGCCTCTGCCTTCTCCTTCTCTTCATGTTATTCCTGGAGCGCCGTGGCGTCTGCTGCTGAGGCCACTCGAAGACGGGCTCGAGCCAGCGCTCGGGCGCGCGCGAGGTGGCGGAGGAGGAGAAACCGGTGGTGCCGGGTCGTCGGCGCAGCCCGATGATGCACTGCGCGCAGTGCGCGAAGACGCAGACGATCACCATCAGGATGATCAAGCAGATGATCGCCACAACCATCGCCTTGACGAAGGCTTGGGGGAAGTCGGCCGGAACTGCGGCGTCGGTCCCCGGCTGGTGTGCACGGCATGATGGTGCTGCAAGTAGGAGAACGAGTAGAAGAGCGACGGCGGGTAGCGACGCCATCCTCGCCGGTCAGTGTAGTAAAGGGTCAGACCCTCACCCGGACCGGCCTAGATAAAGAGCGTTAAGAGAGAATTAAATCCGTTCCCTTCCTCTTCCAGGAGGTAGCTGATGGGAAGCATAAGTGATTTCTTCCATCACGACATTGAAAGGGGTGGAAGAAAAACACAACTACTCATATCATGACACCCCATGAAATACCGCATGAAATCATACAAGTCTCATTCTTCACCGTACCTCGTATCGAGCCTGCGATTTTTATCAGTTGCGCCGGATACGAGGCAGAAAACCAGTTGTCATAAACCTAATCGGGTACTTCAGCATAGGCAATCCATGTTCTATGACCAATGCAAGTCCTACTCCATGACAATTCCATAATCGAGGATTACTCAGCCACCAGCGAATTCCAATAAGGCTGGATGATGTTGAATTTCTGTACTAGAAACTACCATAGAGGAATGAACGAGTATGCTAAGGTTGGAAAGAAATTTAATTACAATGAATGGTCAAGCAGTTCCTTAGCTTCAACAACGACCAGCGTAGTATATAGGTACCTAGGTACCTATTACGACTTCCACCCATTTCTTTATAAATAACAACTGGGTATGAATTCTCGAAGTACCTGCCTCGATTGAAAACCCGTGGAAGTTAGAAAAGAAAAGGCAGATGAATGGGACGATTACGAAGGGGGAAAAAAATTGACAAGAGGGGGATTCGAACCCCCGCCTCTTTCGAGACTAGAAATGTTATAGCTCTTTGGCAGAGCATAAGGGATAGGTACGTTCGTCCTGCGTGCCACGGCAATGGTGGGGCTAGGAAGGGTAATCCTCTTGAGTCTAGCGCCTTAGACCGCTCGGCCATCTTGCCCTGAGTTTGTCCCTGTCGTAAGGGTATGTACTGACCTGTGCAAGTAATCGGGTCTATGTTTGTTGATTCTCAACAGAACGCAGAATGGTTGGCTACTGTTTGTTCAGATAGATGCGGCTTCCCGCTAGGCAGGGAGTCGACATGCATGGATACGCACACTGTGGAATATATCACATCTCACATTAGATCCTAACGGTAAAGAATAGGCAGACATAGCACTCAGTTGGTAGCAAAATATAGGGTATACCACAGGAACTGAAAGACGCAGCATGTTTTAAGATAAACAGCGAAGTAGGGTATTGTAATCGTCTCAACACATTCTTTATGATATGGGGTTCTCATTAATTAGGTATTACTCCATCGCACCACTACTACTCTCTCTCCATTTCCATATCCATTTCCATCCATCCTATTACCTATAGACGACGAAGGGTATAATTTTTCGCTTTCATCTTTTGGGTTTGGTTACTTTAACATAACGAGCGAGGGGGTATATTCGATTTCTCCACGACAAGAAAACCAAGAACACATAAACCGTTTCCGCTGGCGAACTCCCAATCTGTCTAAATGGTAGTTTATTAAGATCGTAGAATATTCATTCCCTTGATCTGCTGTCGTAAAATCGTTAAAAGAGCGGCAGGGCCCAGCCTTACTGTATAGCGTTCGGCGTCGAGCGACGTTTGTTGGGGGTATAAGAGTAAAGAGAAAGGGGTGCAACTGGGAATGCGAGATCATGCGGCTTTGCAATTAGACCAGCCAGTGATGTTTTACCACGGGGAGGCAAGAGCCGCGACGACCTGTATTAGGCTTCCCGGCGCTGAGCCGCTTATGCGGCTGCGGTAGTGGGCTCGCCAACGACCGGGGGCGCGGCAGCGGCCGGGGCGGGGGTTGTCTTCTCGGGGAACTCGCCACTCTGGGGAACACGGCCGTAGCGGGTGAAAGCGATGTTGAGCTTGGTGTAGTCCCACTTGGAAGATAGGAAGTAGAAAGCGAAAGCCAAGACGGGAACGACGCAGAGATCGAGGATACCGTAGAAGATGTAGCCGGGCGTAACACCGATCTTGTTGCCACCGTCAGCGATACCCCAGGCGATGGGGTAGATCAACCAGAAGAAGTTGAGGTAGCCGGCCAGGATGATGTCTGTGAGTTCTAAGTATCAGCAACCATTGTATCTCTAGGTAGTTCAGTGGATTCGGAAATAGACGTACAGTCTCGGGAAACACCGACACGCTTAGCACCGGCAAGACCGTAGAAGAGGGTGTTGAAGGCGAGGATGAACCAAGCAAGGCATCCAATGGCGAAGAAACCCCACTTGTATCGGGTGCCAGTGAGGGCAGAGACGAGGAGAGTAATGACCCTTTATTTCTAGTTAGCACCAATTCCTTCCGGGGGAAATACAATTACTTACCAGGTCCAAGACAGGAAGACGTTGAAGACGATGGAAGCCCAGGAAATGCCGCTCAGGAGACCGAGAGAGATGACGATGACGGGGAAGCTGACCACCCAGTTGACGTACTCGACCCAGAAGACCTGACGCGTCCAGACACCACCATGCGCGTACGAGGGCTTAGAGTCGGCGACCGTGACGACTTCCCAACCCAGGTCAGAGGCAACAGCGAAGTAGGTGAGAGAACCGACGAGGAGAGCGATGGTGAACAGGTAGTGGAAGATCTTCTCTCCAGACTTGGCGAAGAAGCTGGTGGCGAAGAAGATGAAGAAGAACAGCATGTAGAGACCGAACACCGCCCACAACCAGTCGGAACCGTGCGTGGTCAGCTCTTCGTTACCCTGAGGAGGGTTAACGTCGAGGGCCTCGTTACGGGGAAGGATATACATCGTGACGACTTGATTAGTGTATAGACCAGGCAAACCTAAGTGTGTTATGGAAGATAGTCGGCTTTTATTAGTTGTCGAGAGAACTCTTTGATATTATAGCCTTTGGATCACTGTTGGTTGCTGTGATTCGCTGATGAGCTGAGATGAGGCGAGTAGGAGAACACGGGGGGACGAGGCTTGTATTATAGAAGATGGGCAAACCCCTGGCACCGGCCGTGACGATCAAAGAGCTGCAGAGACGTACCTGAGCGTATAGTTCGGAGGTCGACCATTGGCATATTGGTTGATGACTCCTCTTCCTCCCAACGCTCCAACGGGGTGTCATAGCATAATACAAAGCAGCACCATGACTAAAGCCGAGATTTCAACGAAGCAATCCAATGGGGGAATGATCAGACGATCCCAACTACCGCTTCAGCTTTTTGCACGGAATCTTCCACAGGGCGCGGACGAGACGGATGGCGACGGACCATAGTGATGTGTTCGTCGTATGGAGATTAGCTTACAGATTTGGCCACTCGGAGCTCTACTCGGAACCAGTGACGGAAGCCGATGGGACAATGCGGTGTCAGGAGACCTCTAAAGAGCAAAGTCAACATGCAGCACACCTCAAAGCCTTTGAATGGTAACATGGGCTTTCTGCTTCGAGCCAATGCCGTTGACGATCTTCTTTTCAGCCCTAATGTGGAGAAAAGGCTACGAGATTTCGATACCTTATCTCCAGGACGTGGCAGCTTGTCAACGGGCTCTGAAGAAGGCGCTTAGGGTAAGAAATTTCTATGCTGGTAATTATTTGCTGGGTGGTTAATGAATAATCGTTGCAATGCAACCACTAGTCTTATTGTGCCTTACTAAAAGAGACGAAAACTGACCGGAGTCGTCTTACAAATGACATAGTAGGGAAAGCCCTGAGAAAAAAGAATAACGGTCCATGGCATAGGCCGATGTCCGCCCTGCGTGGGTTACCAGAGGCACGGAATGCTCGGTATTCGACATCAGGATGCCAACATGCCAAGCTTGTTGGCCAAAGGGCATATCAATCAGCAGCAATCGATGGCAGTAATCGCTATATGGGAATGCCGACAGCGGGTGAGCTTTCACGGCAGCATCGGATGGGCTAACATACACGAGCTAAGATGCACCGTTTCAAAATAGGTGACAGCCCGCAAACCTCCCTCTCCACCCCAGCAAGAATGCTCGACCACGTTTGGTCTGAAAAGGGCAATGAGTATCACCATATGGGAGTTAGTATCGTGAAAGCAATGCCGGCGCTTGCAGGAGCTGTCGACCTCCGACTAACGCCGGTAGGTGGGTAAGGTCAAAAGTGGGATATATGCGGAGTTGGCGTCGACTTCTTTTCGACGTGACGTGACGTGACGTGAGGTGATTTGGTCTAGCATCAGTACGACGCCTGAAATCGCAAGGACACAATAAGAAATGCTTGATATATTGACTTACCTGCCTCGCCTACCTCGCCTACCTTACCCACCTTGCTCGCTCCTTGGCTTGGCTCAGCCCGCTGTCTCCGGGCTTCCGGGGATAGGCAAACGACGAAAACTCCCAGCAGTAAAACTTCAGCTTTCAAACTCCGGCAAAGGATACTGTTTGGTCAATGGCTTCGTTTAGAGTTTAGCTCATCATTTACCCCTGGCCCCTTGGCGGTTTAGGTCCGGAGGTTCGAAAGTGGAGGAGAGGGGAAAGCGAAGGTGTTGAACCACTCGAGAGCCTCAAAACTGCCCCCCGGCTTTGACGGAACCCACCATGTGCCATCGAGGCAGCGAGGTTGCAACGCTAAGCCTGTCTGAGATGGCGATCGGCCTCACAGTGTCTTGGGTACCATATCACCATCGAACGAGCAAATCTGTCACTCCAATATAAATTGAGATGGGCTAATCACCGACAGGTCTTGGTATGTAAGCCTTTGTTTTCTTCAATAATGAAGCTCAAGGTAAAGAGAGGATGGAGATTAGAACAAGGTGGACTTCGAAACTCCGGATCGTTGATAGTCATCCACTAATAACAGCCCACTATCGCTACCCGTTACACATGGTAGCGAGACGCTAAGGCATGCAAGCATTTAGTTGGTCTTATCTGATTCGACCTTGGATGACGATATCCAGCCTTTTCGCTTACCTAAAAGTTGATATATCACAATATGTAAGTCGTGACAAGAAAACTTCGTACCGCAGGAGCCGGCTGATTTGGTATGAAAGGCATGCCAGCTTTCACATCACAGATAAAACCGTGGATCCCTAGCAATATAGGTAATATTTTCCCCTCTCCTCCCCTCTTATTGTTCTACGGATGCATCCCTTCTCCTCATTTACCACCTCTTGTCCTGGTTGGCGAAGAAGAGTTACCACATGCCTATACGTAGCCTCGAGTTGGGGCAGGATGCAGTCGCTGAATCATCGACGAAAGAAAAATGCAACGTCCTGCAGATCGTTCCAGCGAACCATGTCTCTCGTGTCAGCCGTGCCACCCACGCCGCTCGCCCAATTGGCTCCGAGTCCCAGTCCCTTAGAGTAAGATGTCAGACTGCTTTCCTCGCCTGGCGCTCCTGATACGGCCTTCTGTAATAGATGCCACCGGTCTAGCTTTCACATGCATGTTGTGCAAGTCTTCTCTTCCCTTCTGGATCAGCAGTGGGGTGCCTAACGAGAAGAGCTAAGGCTTTCCAAAGCCCGTTTTAATCAGATCGAAAGCAACGAAATGCAAGTAGGAGCCGGGTGACTATGTATGAGCCTGCTAATTACCGGCAGCGGTTAGAGACGGCGAGGATAGGTGTCGTCATCGAGTGGTAGGACACCAAAAATAGGGGTGCTAGAGCCTGTAATTGCTGAGTGGATGTGATAATTAAGAGAAGTCTTAATTATATCATCCTGTTCTTGAAGGATGTGGTTAAGTTATGTACATTGGCGTCTTTGTTCTGGAGCGCGAATCTTTCGATGATGCATTTCTGTGTCCCAGGTTTAGTATGCGCCTCGAAACCCCATATGTAGCGCCTAGTCCCAATGTCACCCTGCCCATCGCAAACCAAACCACAACCATATCCATTACAGTACTTCAACAAGGCGCCGTCTATTGCTTCCACCCAAGACCTAGTCGACCTAGTCTAATATGCTGGTTTCATTTGCCATAAAGCGGACTTCGCCCGTTCGCGC